TTAGAATCAGCTTTCGTGGTGTCTGGCTATCTCTAGGTGAAGGACTAGCTCCAGCTTCTTTGGCCAGGGAAAGGCTGTAATGTCTGTGCAGGGAGCCGGGCGTTGAAAAGGCTTGGGAAGCGGGTGCTGGTAGGTGGCTCAGGATTTGAGGATTCTCTGCTATTGTTCCCTATTCACGGAGGCGATAGCTGACCCAGGCAGGTAACTTGCAGCAAAGGAGTGAAAAGGCAGTGCTGGTGTCCCAGAAAGAGTGGCTGATATCCTGACCTCCTCTTGGCCCCTCTGATGTGGGATCTCTTTCCCTGGAGCCTATGTGCTGTGGGAGTACCTGGATCCCCTTAGGAGGGACCTGGGCATCTTTGTACCCCAAGTCTAGCTCAGAACTTGGCACGTGGCAAGTACTCAGTAAATGTTGCTTGAACTTAATTGAAATGAGAACTAATTACAGCCTTTTCATGTACCATTCTTTCATTCACTCATTCATTCCATGTGTCAGTTTCTATGCAAGGCCCTGAGTCAGACAGAGGAAAAACACAGGGTCATAGTAGCCTACAGTAGCCTAGAGTTTAACCACAGACAAACAGGTCAGGGCAGCGGAAAGAGTGCCAGGCTGGGTGGTGGACATCTGGACCCTAGTCCAGGCTCTGTGTTTGCCCAACCCGTGACTCCAAGCAAGTCTCTTCTGTGGACCACTGCTCCCATCTTTAAAGGCACAGCCTGGTCTCAGTACTTGTGGGGTCATTTCTCACAGTAAATAGTAAGATTTTTAAGGCATTGGGACAGGCTAATACAGGAGCTGCAAACTTCCAAGATTTCAGGGGCCAGGTAGGGAACAGGGAGTGGAGGGTTGAGCTGGTGAGGACATATCCCTACAAAGAGAGTTACCAGTTCCCACCATGTGGGAGCCCATGTTCAATTACCAAGTCATTGGTCTTTTCCAGTGAAGTCAGAAATCTGGGATGATGATGAAGATGATGGAATTTCTTAACATTTCAATCATTAAGCAAGCCAAACCAAACTCTTCTGCTACCTTGTCCGCAGTAAACTTTTTGCAAACCCTGCAAGGCATGCCCTTGGTTCAGAGTCTTCTGACTTCTCTACTCAGAGTAAGAAGAGACCTTGGACTCAAAGGTTCATTCCCAGATTTGGGGAGGGAAGTGGGATGGGAGGTCTGCTTCATAACTTCTCACAAAGAGAGGTATCCCTCGTAGCTTTCTTGGGATAATGGGCATCCCTGGAGCTAGGGGTGGGCTGGAGATGGGGCAGTGAGTGCCCACCTCCAAACCAATTACAACATTTTTAATACCAGTTTTATAGAAAAGCTCTTGAATAAAGAGCTTGAATACCCACAGGAATGGAAAAGGACAGCTCTAGGGATCATTTGTATAGGAATACCTTGGAGATATTGTAGGTTCCATTACAGACCTCTGCAATAAAGCATATAGCAAAATAAAGCAAGTCATACAAATTTTTTGGTTTCCTAGTGCATATAAAAGTTATATATATATACACACACACACAGAAGTTATATATAACTTATTTACATATCAGTTATATATAACTTATATACATGTATATATACATATGTATATATATGGATATATAACTTTTATACATATAAGTATATATAATTTTATATATACATATGTATGCATATGTATATATAACTTTGTGTAATTCTATTGTGCACTTAATAGACTACAATATATTTTATAAAATATTTTTATAAAATATACTGTAGTCTATTAAGTGCACAGTAGAATTAAATAAAATATGTAGTATAAAATATACTACAGTCTATTAAGCATATACCATATATGTATATGTATATATACATATATGTGAATATATACAGTATAAAATATACTGTAATATATTGTAAATATAATGGCATCAAGAATGGTGAATCCTATTAAGATGGTTTTCAATTCACTTTGCCCAGATCTGTCAGAGGAATCACTATCTGTGGCAGCCAAAGCCTTACAAAATGTATATATTGTAATATATATACCTATACGTATGTATATATACACAGTGTAAAATATACTGTAGTCTATTAAGTATGCAACAGAATTACACCCAAAAACAATGTATATATTTTAATTTTAAATACTTGATTGCTTAAAAAATGCTAACAATCATCAGGTGAGTCTTAATCTCTTTTTGCCAGTGGAGGGTCTTGCCTCCATGTTGGTGGCTGCTGACTGAGCAGTTTGGTGGTTGCTGGTGGCTGGAGTGGCTATGGCAATTTCTTAAAATAAGACAACGGTGAGTTTGCTGCATCAATGGACCTTTTTTTTCATGAAAGATGTCTCTGTAGCATACACTGCTGCCTGATAGCATTTTGCCCACAGTAGAACTTCTTTCAAAATTGGAGTCAATCCTCTCAACCCCTGACACTGCTTTATCAACTAAGGTTATTTAATATTATTTATTATTTAATATTCTAAGTTCTTTGTGGTCATTTCAACAATGTTCACAGCATCTTCACCAGGAGATTTTATCTCAAGAAACTACTTTATTTACTCATCCATAAGAAGCAACTCCTCATCCTTTCTTCAGGCTCCACTTCCAGTTCTGGTTCTCTTGCTATTTCTACCACATCTGCCGTTACTTCCTTCAATGAGGTCTTGAACCCCTCAAAGCCATTCATGATGTTTGGAATCAGCTTTTTTAAAATTTCTGTTAATGTTGGTATTTTAACCTTTTCCCCTGAATCATTAATGTTCTTAATGGCATCAAGAATGGTGAATCCTATTCAGACAGCTATCAACTTACTTTGCCCAGATCCATCAGAGGAATCACTATCTATGTCAGCTAAAGCCTTACAAAATTTCTTAAATAATCAGATTTGAAGGTTGAAATGACTCCTTGAACCATGGGCTGCAGAATGGATGCTGTGTTAGCCAACGTGAAAACAACATTAATCTCCTTGTACATCTCCATCAGAGCCCTGGGGTGAGTAGGTGCGTTGTCAATGAGCAGTAATATTTTGAAAGGAATCATTTCTTCTGAGTAGTAGGTTTCAACAGTCGGCTTAAAATATTCAGTAAACCATTCTTAAACAGATGTGCTGTCATCCAGGTTTTGTTGTTCCATTTTTAGAGCATAGGCAGAGTAGATTGAGCATACTTCTTAATGGCCCTAAGATTTTTGGAATGGTAAATAACCATTGGGTTCATCTTAAAGTCATCAGCTGTATTAGCCCCTAAAAACAGAGTGATCCTGTCCTTTGAAACTTTGAAACCAGACATTGACTTCCCCTTTCCAGCTTTGAAAGTCCTAGATGGCGTCTTTTCCCAATATAAGGTTATTTCTTCTACACTGAAAATCTGTTGTTCGGTGTAGTCACCTTCATCAATTATCTTAGCTAGATCTTCTGAATCACTTCCTTCAGTTTCTACATCAGCACTTGCTGCTTGAGCTTCGAACTTTTACATTATGAAGAGGACATCTTTCCTTAAATCTCAAGAACCAACCTCTGCTAGCTTCAAACTTTTCTTCTGCAGCTTCCTCACCTCTTTCAGTCTTCACAGAATGAAAGGAAGTTTCTGTCTTGCTCTGGATTAGGCTTTGGCTTAAGGGAATGTTGGGGCTGGTTTGATCTTCTATCCAGATGACTAAAGCTTTCTCCACAACAGCAATAAGGCTGTTTTGCTTGCTTATCATTTGTGTGTTTGCTGGAGTAGCACTTCTAATTTCCTTTAAGAACTTTTTCTTTGCATTCGCAACTTGGCTGTTAAGCACAGAATGCCTGACTTTTGGCCTGTCTTGGCTTTTGACATGCCATCCTCACTAAGCCTAATCATTTCTAGCTTTTAATTTAAAATGAGAGTCATGTGACACTTCCTTTCGCCTGAACGCTTAGAAGTCAAAGTAAGGTTATTAATTGGCCTAATCTCAATATTCTTGTGCCTCAGCAAATAGAGAGGCCCAAGGAGAATGTCCAGCCAGGGGATCAGTCAGAACACACCCAACATTTATCAATTAAGTTGGCCATCTTACATGGGTGCAGCTCATGGCACCTCAAAACAATGATGATGGTAATATTCAAGATCACAGATCACAGATCACCGCAACAACTATAATGGTAATTTAAAATTTTGAAATAATGAGAAAATTACCAAAACGTGACACACAGACACAAAATGTGTACACACTATTGGGAAGCTGGCAGCAACAGACTTGTTCAAGGCAGGGTTGCCACAAACCTTCCATTTGTAAAAAACACAATACGTGTGAAACACAATAAAGTGAAGCACAGTAAAATGAAGTGTGCCTGTATTTAGCTTTGAAGTTCACTGTGTAGATCAGATTCCAACTTGATGAAAGTATTTGTAGAACCCACTATGCACAGAGTTCTGGTAGTACAGAAGAAGCTAATCCTTGCCCTTAAAGAGATTATGCTCACTCTCATTCACTTGAAGTCAACCCAATGTTTATTGAGTTTCTGTCTTGGGCTCAGTAGGGATGGGATGAAGGAGAAAAGAGGATGAGTTAGCCAGCCTCTGCCCCCCAACGTATCACAGCCTGTTGAGGAAGAGGGCTGCAGACAAAAATGACTCTAAGTCTGGCCACAGTAGCAGCTCTAATAGAAATTCAAACAGCATCTGAGCATGAACGCTTCACGAATTTGCACATTTGCTTAGGCTGCTATTTAAATTACTTTCCTTCCCCTGTGCACATGCCAATAGGCAGTAGAGATGACAGCCCGGGTGCTCCCCAAGCTGGCTGGGAGGATAGCGGTGGGGGCGGGAGAGGGGACGATGCTGGAAGAATCAGATTGAGGTGAACACAAGGCTGCAGATATTCCACAAAGTGGACAACCAAGAGTGAACCCTGAGACCACCTCTCCCTCTGACGAGGCAGCTTTCTCATGACCATTCTTTTCTCTTCTTCCGTCTTTGTCCCTTCTGTGTGCTCCCTCCTCCAACACGCTCACCCGCTTCTCCCCGCCTCTGTCTGTCTGTCCCTCCCTGCCTGGCTCCTGCCGAGGGCAGGCACCTCTGTCAGCCTTCTCGCAGTTGTAGTTATTGTGTGTGGTGTGGCCCTGGTGGCAGTTTTTCTCTTTCTCTTTTGGAAGCTGTGCTGGATGCCCTGGAGGAACAAGGAGGCCTCCAGTCCCTCTCCCGCTAATCCCCCCTTGGAAGCCCTCCAGAGCCCCAGCTTCAGAGGCAACATGGCGGACAAGCTGAAGGACCCCAGCACCCTGGGCTTCCTGGAGGCGGCTGTGAAGATCAGCCACACATCCCCAGATATCCCAGCTGAGGTGCAGATGTCGGTCAAGGAGCACATCATGCGTCACACGCGGCTGCAGCGGCAAACCACAGAGCCAGCATCATCCACCAGGTGAGGAGTGGACCGCTCCTTCCCCTGACCCCCATATCTCCACACTCTCTTATTTAATACATCTATGAGATTCCAGCCTGTGAGGATCAGAGATCAGAAATAATAACACATATCCTTTGATTGAGAAATATGTCAGATGATGTGATCCATGATGGACGATCAATGAAGAGGTGGGCACCAGGAAAGACTTCAGAAAAGGCAAACCTTTGAGGCAGGTTGCTGCACATGTGGTGTGCACTTGGGGTGTGGATGTGAAGGGAACGGAATAGAGGAATAGGGGAGTGTTGGATATTTGGACGGAAAGACCTCAGGCAGAGGGAGAGAACATGAGAAGGCCTAGAGACGTAGGAGTTGATGGTGCGTTTAGGGGTATGTCAGTAAAGCCTGATGGCTACAGTCTGCCGTGCATGGCAGATAAGGCAAGAGTCTTAGTAGTTTGAGACTGAGGATTCCTTTAAAGCCTTTCAGAGTTCCCTGCATGACAACAATTGTAAATATATACAACATCCTTTAACTGAAAATAGCAACAAGAAAAACATAGCAAAAACCTACCCTAAATTCAGAAACACTTTTAAAAGATGTGGTGCAAGCATGCATGAGGCATCGTGTTTACTCAAAACGTAGGGCTCTGATGGATTCCTAGGTGCCTGCAATGGCCCTCCAGGCTCTCAGGGGACCAGCCAAAGAGAAGGAGGCCTGGTCTTCAGACTGGAGGCCAGGAATCAACATGCTGAGGGTCACACTGACCGTTTGTCACATGGCCTTGGGCAAGTTGCTTACCTTCCCTAAGCCTCGCTTTTTCCAACTGTAAAATAGGGCTGATGACTTTTATACGGCAGTTGTGAGGAGCCAATGGAAGAATCCATGTGATCGATAAGGAGAGCTAACACATATATTGCTTATGATTATGGCTGCCCCTCTTCTAAGTACTTCATATGTAATCAATTCATTTCACTCTCACAGCTATCCTATGCAGTTGTCACTTTTATTGTTCTCGTTTTTTGGGCACAGAGAGGTTAAATAACTTTCCAAGATCTCAGCTAGAAAGTGACGGAGCCAAAATTAACCTATGCAGTCTAACTCCAAAGCCCATGCTTTTAACCACTCCGCTGCCTGCCGTATACCAAATGCTGAACAAATGGTGGCGGTGACGGTGGTGACGGTGGTGAGGGGGTTGCCACACTGAGGATAAGAAGGGAGGGTCCTTCTCTTAAGGGATCTCATGATTTAATAAGGGAACCGGAGTCATGTCTTCTAGGAAATAAACCTAAAAAGCAGGTAACAGAAAAGCAGGAAAAGTGATTATGATAGCAATGGCTATGTTTACTAAGCTTACTATATACCAGGCACCATTCCAAGTACTTTACATATATTAAGACATGTAATGCTCACAACAACCTTGCACACAAAGTGTGTGCAGAAGAAAAGTGGGGTCAATAAGAGAAAGAAAAGGGGGCTCAACAAGGGATTGGATGAGCCAGGGTCTCCGGGCTTGTGTCTGTCTACATCCCCCTTTCCCTGCGCCCTGACCACACTTCCCTCTGCCACCTCCGCCAGGCACACATCCTTCAAGCGCCACCTGCCAAGGCAGATGCATGTCTCCAGTGTAGACTATGGTAATGAGCTTCCGCCAGCCGCAGAGCAGCCCACTAGCATCGGCCGCATCAAACCCGAGCTCTACAAGCAGAAGTCGGTGGATGGGGACGATGCCAAGTCTGAGGCCACGAAGAGCTGCGGGAAGATCAACTTCAGCCTTCGCTACGATTATGAGACCGAGACCCTGATTGTGCGTATCCTGAAGGCTTTTGACCTCCCTGCCAAGGACTTCTGTGGGAGCTCTGACCCTTACGTCAAGATCTACCTCCTGCCTGACCGCAAATGCAAGCTGCAGACCCGGGTGCACCGCAAGACCCTGAACCCCACCTTCGATGAGAACTTCCACTTCCCCGTGCCCTACGAGGAGCTGGCTGACCGCAAACTGCATCTCAGTGTCTTTGACTTCGACCGCTTCTCCCGCCATGACATGATTGGCGAGGTCATCCTGGACAACCTCTTTGAGGCCTCTGACCTGTCTCGGGAAACCTCCATCTGGAAGGACATCCAATACGCCACAAGTGTGAGTACAGTCCTGTTCCTTGGCTTCTTGAGGATGTGCGATTCAGGGTCGGGTGGGACATGTCCCAAACCTCTCAGTTCCTAGGGACAAATGGGCCTTTGCCCTTTGGGATATGAAGAGGGAGTCTGGAAACTGCCCAGTGGCCCAGCCTACCCTTGCGCTCTGCCCCAGGTCGGGATGGCAGACAGCAGAGGCCCCATGTAGGTAGAAAGTGAAGGGAACTTTTATCTATGGCTTCTGGTTGCATGTTCTGGGGCGGTTCTTTCTACTGAGAGCACTGATGTGCATTAGAAGCTTGGCATAAGCAATTGAAACAGGCCATATCAATCAGGCTGAACCAGGCTATGCTGCAGCAGCAAACTGTCTGATGATTTTGTGGCTTTAGACAACTAGAATTTATGCCTTGTTCATGTTTCATGTGCTTTGCAGCTGGGCTGGGGACTCTTCTCCACCTTGTTACCTGGGGACCCAAGCCAACAGAGGCTGCGTTTAGACATGTGCCCCAACAGCTAAACATCAGGAGGAAGAGGAAGTAGCAGATCATGCACTATTTATTAAAGCTTCCACGCAGACGTGACACATGTCACTTCCACTCCCGTTAGAACAAGACACGTGGTAACTCCTAACATCAAGGGAGAAGGGGCAAAGTAATCCTACCAAGTGCCCAGAAGGGGAGCTGGACATACCTAATGAACAGCATGAATGACGAGGGACACAGAGCAGAGTCCCTTTGCTTGAGCACTGTTTTCCCACTGTCTGGGAGATGGGGAAGGTCAGCCGAAAAGGAGACCTGGCTAACCCCTACGCAGGAGGTGGATGCTGAGCTCTTTGCAATCAGCTGGAATTAACCACGGAAGGTTTCAATGAAGTGGGGCTCAAGTTGGCTTTTAAGAGAAGGGAGCACAGGTTTGGCACAGAGAACTGGAGAGGGCACATCCAAAGCCCTTCGGTCTGACATAGCCCTTTGCTCCAGTTCCCTGGGTTGAGGAAGCTGTGTAGCTGCATTCTGCAGGTATAGTTAGTGTCCTCTCTCTAAGCCCACCCAGGCATCTGAGAGCTCAATGGGGGCGTATCCTCCAAGCTCCAGTGGCCTTGCATCTGCTCTCTTGACTGCTAACAGGTTAAGTGGCAACCTGGATACCTCCTGCGCTGTGTCTCTGAGGAGGGGCAACCCCACTCTGTCTGCAGACTCCCCTTTCGATAGTCAGTACTCAATATCTCTGTGTTGAGCCTATGAGGAGAGGGACTCTGGTGTGCAAAGGGTATAAATCGTGATGTGTTCAAACAGAGAAAGCTTTGTGGGCTCTGCTTGTGCCCCAGGAAGGATCTGGGGACACCCCATTCTCATAGCTGTTGCTGACTTTGACCAGTCCAGCCCAATGGCCCAGTGCCTCCCCCACCTTTGCTTTCCTGAAATGTCATCCTTAAGAAGAACCCAAGTAGCTGGCTGGCCAGCAGACAGACGGGGCGGGCAGACGGGGCGGATCGGAACAGCAGCTGTGCACCAGCCCCAGGCCGGGGAGCTCCACTCCCTAAATCACTCTGAAATTTACATCTGGCGCAGCGCTTCCCTTGTGGTCTCCTTAGGCTGTGGCTTCATTATGGTAACTGTATAGGTAGAGAAAAGCAGCTCAGCCCTCCTCACAGTGAGGTTGTCACCTAGGATGGGGGTGAGGGCCAGGGGCTGCAGGAGGCAGAGCTCAGCGCAGCCCTCCCAGGAGCCTCCTTTGCTCCTTGCCAGAGCCCAAGGTCCACTGTCTCTGACCCCAGGCATGAACAGAAGCCTCAGTGCTGGGGTAGGCAGTCTGTGCTCAAGCACTCTCCTCACCTGGATGTACCTTTCCATATCCAAGAACCCTGTGGCCGTCCTGTCCTGTCCTCTCCTTGTCCCATCCCCACTTCCCTAGCCTGGCTGAAAAGGGCAGATCAACCGAAGAGCAGGGGACAAATCACCATCATCCTCATCATCCTCAACTAGTATCATTATAGTCCTCCTCTGTCTCCTCCTCCCAAGAACACTGTGCCAGGCATGGGGGTGGGGATGGCCCTGGGATAGAAAACAGCCTTTTTGACCCACAGAAACTCGTAATCTAATTACAGAGACAGGAAATGTCCATGCAGTAGCTGGCCAAGCAAAGCAGCAAATACTATCCGCTGCATACAGTTGCAGGATCCTTAGAGTCAGGACAGCTGGGGAAGGTCTCCTGGATGAGGAGAATTAAATCAGGTGGTGAAGGACAGTCATAACTAACTCAATAGGCCAGGAGGAAGTGGGGACATTCTAGCCAGGTGCAGAGGGAATCCAGGCCCAGGAGTTTCCACAGCTGCAGAGCCAGTCCCATGCTCAGACAGCCTGTCTAACTGTCTGTCTGAGCTGGAGGTTCCTTCACAAGTGAGTCCCCTGGTACCCTCCAGCCTGCAGCTCACCAGCAGGTAGAATTTTCGGGAGCGGGCTCATCACCTTGCCAGCAAGGACTCAAGCAAAAGAGGGGGAAGAGCTACAAGAAGGCTGGTGCTTGTACCTGTTCGTGGTGCTGTCAAATTTTAATTATTTGGGGGCCAGGGAGGCCCAAGTCATCACAGTCTCCAGGAATGACAGAGCACTGAGTGTATATGAATTCCCATAGCCAGCACAATGGGGGGCAGTACTGATGAGCTGAGTGCAGCCGAGAGCCAGCTCCCATCTCTGCGGTGCGTCTGATTCCATTCCCAGAGCTGCCCTTTGGACCTGAGGTCAGGAATTCGGCAGCTTCGGAAAAACACCTGACATTCCTGACTCTTGCCTTTGCCCACAAGGTTCTCCTTGTTAGGCAGGCCTGTTCCCACCTCCCCTCCTGGTGCAAACCAATCCACCTTTCAGAGCCCACCTGCCATCATCCTCCACAGCAGCTGCCTCTCCAGTGTGTTCTCTGTATGCCCAAGTTCTATCCTGAGTCATATTCTATCTCGTAAAGTCCTCCCAATGGCTCAGGAATGGCTTGTGACCCACTTTTGATTTTCTCTTGTGTTTTCCCTCAGGGCTGAGTGTAAGAACCCAGTACTTTCTTGTTAAATGACCAGTGGCTTACTTAATTCAATTGAGACTATATATGGGTGCCCAAGGAAAAGACTAATTATTAAAGAAGCAGTTGGAATGGAATGGGTTAACCTGGGAAGACTTCTTGGAGAAGCAGCTCAAGTAGTATTTAGAAAATAGCTAGAGTCAGGCTTGGTGGGGAGAGGCCCAGCCTGTGCACTCATTCAGAGGTGAATGGGTTGGTTTGTGTCTGGGGTAACCAGTCAGATCAGGTAATCTGGACCAAAGCAGAGAGTCCGTGACCCACATGCTGAGCAGAAGGAAAGGCACCGTGAGAAAGGGGACTTAGGGGCTGCTCTGTGCTCACCCAAGTGCTGTGAATGCTGCTTGTATTGCCCCTTGAGTTTGTGCAGGAGAGTCAGATTCGGCCCTGGCAGGTGGCACCAGGCAGCTCCCTTGTTCCTGCCCCCACCCTGGTGCTTGAGTTGAAGTACCAAAGCCAGGAGCATTTGCATTGTGTTCTCACGGCCACAGAACCCTGAGCTCAAGGAAGGGGAGGTACACATCCGAGGAGCCTAACTCTTTGTTAATTGCAAATCTTAAGCCTCGAGGGACGCTCGCCTCCCCAGTCTAGATTGTTCCAGGGAGAAGTCTGGGCAGCACAGCAGCTAATATGCCCCACTGGCTGGAGAGCCAGAACAAACTGGGCTTGCAAGGCAGTTGGAGGCCTCTTGCATTGCACGGAATTAAGAAACTCAGGCCTGGGATGGAAATTTTGGGAGTTCACCACATCCATTCCGGCCCTGGGAAGCACTGCCCTCTGCTCTCCCCGTCTCTCCTCCGGCCAGGCTTGCCCAAGGGTCCCTGATGGTCTCCTGGGCATTCCCAAAGGTGTTCCACTGTCTCTCCAACCAGAGCTTCAATTGGCTAAAATCACCATGCTCTTCCCTCCCAGCTTTCTCTGCTCCTGGTCTCATTATTTCTAAATAAAGCTGTAGATTTATCATTATAATAGAGCCGCCATCAGCCGGGTTTGCTAACATCTCTGTAATCTTTTAGTATTGCTACAGAGGCCTCAGACCCCACTGCATACAACTATTCCTGTCACTATTCCCCCTCCTTCACTGTGGCAGGAGGCGAAGGCTGTAATTGGGGCCATAAATATGTGCTGTGCTTGGGGGTACTAATGGATTCGGCCATCTTCCTGCCTTACCAGGTCCCTACTAGTTTAGAGTGTGCATGAGTGTGTGTGTGTGGGTGTGTGTTGTTTTTGGACTAGGCTAGAATGTGTGTGTGCATGCATGTGTATGTGTGTGAGTGTGCATTTGTGTGTGCGTTGTTTTAGGGGTGATGAAGTGTTCTGTATACTTCCAGAGAGCCTGCACTGAGGGTATGCAGGGAGGAAGGGGGGCCTTAAATGGTAGAACAGCCTCTGGCCTGGAAACGAGCAGAGCTGTGCGGAAGGAGTGCAGGCTTTACTGTCAACCCGAGTTGCATTCCAGCTTCCTCACTTTCTAGCTTTAAAACCTTGGGACATTATCTAAACTGTGCCTCAGTTTTGGCATCAGCAAAATGGGGATAATAATGGTGTCTAGCTCCTATTGGTATTATATGTAGTAAAGGAACAGAGTGCACAGCCACCTAGGACAGCGCTGTCACAGAGCAGCTGCTGAGCCCTATTCGTCTGGTGCCCATCCTGTTGGCTTAGGCCGTGGGTCACTTCTGTACCACTCCCAGGCCTCACCTTCCCCTTTGGTCCAGGACACCAGTTCTGACTGGTTGTTGAATGTTATTATTCCCTTTTTATTTCTTGTCTCGGCTATGGCACGTGTTTTCTGTGTGACCTTGAAAAAGTGACTTTCCCTGCCTGGGCTGCATTTTCCTCAGTATTAAACCATCTCTAGAGTCCTGTGATTTTCATCTTCTCCCGTAGAGAAGTGAGAGCTACCCATTCCCAAGGAGTGTGGTCTCCATAGCAGAGGCC